CAACAACTGTTGTTGCCAGACTATCGGTCTCAGAGGTAGCAGTGCCAATAAGGGGACATAAGTTGGTATAAGTTACTGAGTTTTAGGCTACTGGAAATTAAATATTTTTGTGTTTGTGTTTTATTTTAATTTATTATTTTTTATTAACCAGTGCCTTTTATTTAAGGTGTAATCATTTCATAGTAACATACAAATACATTGTTTCTATTCAAATATAGTTAAGTGCTCTTGCCCTGCTACCACAGGTTTATTTACCATTTAAATTTTGGGTGTTGGGCTTCTTTTGTTTTGTTTTGGGGCCATAACCAGCAATGCTCAAGGCTTCTTCTTTTTTTTTTAAACAAACTTCTTTATTGAATCACTGTGAGATAGACTTTTACAAAGCTGTTCATGATTGTATTTCAGTCATCCAATATTTCAACACGCAGCTCTTCACCAAGTGTACATTTCCCAGCCCCAGCGACCCCAGGTCTCAAGATTAATCCGGGATCTCAAGCAGCCCCTGACTTTTTATGAGATAGTGCATCTTCAATTAAAAAATTGGTAATGAAATAAAAGGACAAACAATTATTATTTATTATATTATAAAAAATATACTTTCTGCTGAATCCTAGAAAATGTTCTGAATCTGTTGGCTTTATGGATTTTCTAAAACATGGTAGCATTGTCCTGGCCTTATTGTAAGATGATCTGATCCTCTTTGAATTTTTCAAAGATGATTTTTCTTATCCTTTACCAAATAGCAAAGCATGGAGAGGGCAATCTCTGGGATAATATCTGTGAAATGTGTTTCTACTACTTTCCTCTACTGTTACTGTTTGTACTGAATACAGATTAGGTATGTTACTCTAGATGTTTTGTCAACCTGATCCACTGACCTGGTTTACCCTCAGGTATAAGGTACTTTGTTATCACTCCTTAAGGAAGTATTTTTATTTTAAAATACACACATAATAATTAGCAGGAATCTGATGATGGATACAAGTGAAGAATTTTTGAGACAGATTTGAGGTTGGGTCCTCTGAAATCACAATAATCATGAATATTCTCTTTCTAAGCAAATGGCTTTTTTTCCCACTTGCATAGTGTTTAGTATTTTCTAGGACAGGTGTTTGTACTTGGAAATTGTACTGATCTCTACTTATTTCTCTATATTGTTTATAAGTGTATATATGAATATGTACTTTGGGAGGGAGATATAAGCTTTTATATTATATTAATAATACTAATATAATAATGACTATAAAACCAATGTAGTTGAAATAGTGAAACCGAGAGAAGTATTCTGTGATCCTCATAGAACAGTTCTTTGGCAAAGGAAAATAGAAACCCAAAATTCTGACAGTGTAATCATGAACACTATAAAATGAATAATAATTAGTTTTCCAATTGATAGATACCTAGCAGATTGATTTTCTCCAAAATTGAACTTGGCAGGTCTTCAGAATTAGTGACAAAACATAAAGAAATACAAGTGTTTGTTTTACCTATTATTTCCACAAAAGGACATGACACTTAGATGCTACATCAGGCATCCACTTTGTAAAACACAGAAGAAACTTTTACAAAGCAATCTCTCTAAAATAATCCTTTGAAGTTCTGGAACAAAGCTCAGCTGGCTCTCCTTCGGTTCTATCTCAGTGGCAGGTTCAGAGATTTAAAAACTGAAGTGCTTTTTCAATTATACAATAACCAGCAGGTTTCCATTATAGCACAAACTCCATCATCTAAATATATGCTAGGCATTGTTATAAAAAACTCTCACAGGTAAAGCCTTGACTGCTTCATCTATTTCTGATACTGGTTCTGTCATTCTCAAGTCTAATAGCAAAGATATATACCCGTTTTTTTTTTAACTTTATTCTTTGGCTTCGATTTTTTTCAAACTTCTTGTGATCTCAAAATAACTTTCTAAATTAACTGTAGTTAGCTTTGCCCACATTTTTATACAATGTATTTCAATGCTTATTAGGTAGCTTTATTTATTAGAAAGACAAAAAATTAAATTATTGGGATAAAAAGATAGTACAGGGAACTGGGTACTTTCATTGCACATCAGAGCCCAGGATTTTCACCCTGGTACTAGATGTGCTCCCCAGAGCATCACCTGGAGTGATCTCTGACTGCAGAGCCTTGAGTAAGCCTAAACCATTGCTATATATGGCCGCAAAACAGAAAAAAAGCAAACAAAATTCAATTGTGTTAATTGAATGATATCTCATTTGAGTAAAAATATTAGATATTGATCACTATTCAGCAATGTTAAAGAAAACCAGAAATGGTCAGTAGCTAACATGATAAAAAATAAAATTTATTTGAAGACAACTGCTATAAGACAGAGATATCTCAGTTTAGAACTGGTTTGACTTTCAAGTACAGAAAATAAAAATGAAAATTTTTAGCAAAGGAGCAGGGTGTCTAGGGGTCAGTGTATGGAAATGCATTAAGAAGAAACATCAGAGAGAATTCTAGCTAACCAAACTTAATAAGATTCTTCCAGATGGCACATCAGGGCAATAAGATATCACCTGGGGGTAGTGAGGAGAGTGGAATTTGATCAGCTATCAGGGATGATCAGATTGTTTGGTGTAGGGCACTCAATTTAAACCAACATAGCAGAACTCTTGGTAAAACTGAGCAATTCAGATGAACAAAAATTCAGACCAACTTTAGAAGAGGGTTCAAAGGAGCATTAACTCAAGTGTAGTCAGGGAGAGTCTTTTTGGTATACCAAGGTAAAGGTAAAAGGTAAAGGCCCTCCCGTTGATCGTGGATTTGCTCGAGCGGGCCCAGTAACGTCTCCATTGGAGACTTTGTTGTTACTGTGTCTGGCATATCGAATACTCTCGGTAGCTTGCCGGGCTCTCCGAGAGGGGCAGAGGAATCGAACTCGGGTCGGCCATGTTGGCCGCGTGTAAGGGGAACGCCCTACCCGCTGTGCTATCGCTCCAACCCAAGATGAAGGGAAAATAAATTCATTTTACATAAAGGTAAGTGGATACATAAAAGAGACTTTCAGTAAATCTGAGAAAAAAACATAGTCATTCTGACAGTAAAATCTGAGACTGAAAATATATGGCACGCCTATGAGGAGTATTATGGAAGTAGGTCTCTAGATTGTTATCATGTGAAGATTATGGTCTATCTTATTTTTAATGAAAGGGGTCTCCTAAGAGTGCTCAGGAGGCTCAATAGTCCCATACTTGATTCTCAGCCAACTGTAACTGTAACACATACTGACTCAAAATTTTTAAAAAAATGACATCACTTTTCTTTTTCACTTAGTGAGCTTTCCATTTTTTTTGCATATTTTGGCAGAATTAGACTAGTGTCATATTTATGTTTGATGGATTTAGCAAGATTTAATACAAAGAGTCAACTCATGTTCTGAGCCTTAGTGAAACAAGAGACACTATTAAAGAGAAACCAGAAACAGACTCCAGAGGTATAAAAATTAATTTTGTTCAGGATTTTGCAATAGTTCTTTATCTGTATAGAACTGCACAGATTTGTAAACATAACAAGAAAGTGAAGGCTAATCAAGACGCTGTTGGTTAGAAAGGCAATAGTCATGAAAGAAAAATAAGAAGAGAATCAGAGTAGGTAGGTTCTTGTTAATAGAATTATGTTGAAGGCAGATTAGGTTAGCATGTATCAAGAGTATAATTGCTAAGTAAGGAATTGGTTCTAATATTGAGGAAAATCAGGTATCAAGATGGACAATTTTCACTAAAATGATGTACCAGGATGTTGCTACAACTGGGCCATGTAAGCCTAGCAAGAATAGGGGGAACCAAGATCAAGATTTAGTTGACTCCAAGGAAAAGGACTATATTCTCTCTCTCTTTTTCTCTCATCTCTTTCTCTTACTCTTTCTCTCTCTCTCTCTCTCTCTCTGTCTCTCTTTCACACATATGTCATATACTAATTCAAGCCCCACAATTATTGTTCAACTTCAGAATTACCTTTCTCCTCTAACCATGAAATTTTTAGGAGAAAGATCTACAGTAGAAACAGTGTAAATATGTTCCAAAATTATAGATGGAAACAGTAATGGGGAGTTAATAGGAATGGGAATGATTGGCAATGAATTTTCCTGTTTGTATTTTGGGTACACACCCAGTGATGCCAGGGATTCACCCCTGGCTCTGCCATCAGATATCACTCCTGGTAGTTGTGGGGCACTATATGCGGTGCTGAGGATAGAATCTGGGCAGACTACCTATAAGGCAAATGCCCTACCAGTTGCAATATCTCTCCAGTCCCTTTGCAATGAGCTTTAAGAAACCATAAAACCAAAATTGTCGACGAAAGTTTTCACTGCCACATAAACCAGACCAGACTGAGAAGACCAGCAGAAACCTAAACTGGCAAAAAGATTCAGCAGGAATGATGACCATGGGGAGCTATCAGAACTCAATGCCATTTTCTTTGACAGTGTCCTAATAATCTTATTTTACCAAGATATGTGTTGTATAACAACTAAAATAGTAAATAAATCACTTACAAGTGTTTGTTAAGACTGATTCTTTTTTTTTTTTTTTTTTTTTTTTAATTTATTTATTGAATCACTGTGGGAAAGGTTACAAAGCTTTCAGGTTTATGTCTCAGTCATGCAAATATCAAACACATTTCCCTTTACCAATACTTATTTTTTCCCATGAAGAACCCCAATAAAACCCCACCCCCCACCCCTCCCCGTCCCTGTGAGGCAGATGAATTCTAGTTAACACTCTATCCGCTTTGATTAGATTGTTTCAATAAAAGATTCACCACTATTATTTAGAGTTTACCCCCCCCCCCCCGCCAAATCAGACATGCTGAAAAAGCATTGTGAAGAAGACTGATTCTTGATGTAATGTTCTTTATAATAAAAAGTATAATATTAAAACTCAGTAAGTTTGGTTGCCAGAAAAAATAAAATAAGATGCTGAATTTGTGGTGGGTACTAATTAATAAGTGGCAGACCTTAATTAAGTTGGATTTATTTTAACTTTCAGCAATGACAATGCAATTTATCAGCCATCAATTTCCTGACTACCATGATCCCACCATTGGTAAGTACAAGCCTTTTTTGTCCTTTACTCAGAAAAAAGTCACTCTAAATAAAATGACTTACAAATTTCACTGATGTCTATGGAGAACAAGCAGTATACATCTACACTATTATTCAATAACACATACACATAAAATTGTAAGCTACTGCAACAGAAACTTTAAGAAATATAGAAACTTGTTCTTACCATATGCTCTCATATTTTCTATTCTTATCTATTTCTTGCTGAAAAATGACAGCTAAATTCATTAAGTTGATTACAGAATATAATAATGGTTATCTACAAGCATTTGGAAAACTGCATGAATAATTTAAGTAATGCCAGTGTGTGCTTATTGGCTAATTTCCTTTATCAGTCTTTGAATCTTCTGCAGAATCAGTGTCCATGATAATGATGTGTTTAGACAGTCTTTCCAAACATGTAAACTTACTTATCATTTTCATCTTGCAGATGAGAAAAATGACACTCAGTATCGAAGTTTTGTTAGAGCCCAAACACGGGCCATTTTCTATTTTTTCCGTCAAGTTTTCATCATATCATAGTTTGCTGCTAGAAGATTACTTTTAGGAACATTTTTTTTAAATAAAAAATATGTATCTAAAACTGGCCATTGCTCATCCAAAAGAATTAATTTAGAGAGTCAGTTGAAAAATTCCTAAACAGAGTCTGCCATAGCATTCTTTGCCTAGAAATTCATTGGCATTTAAATCATATAAATCCTTATTTTATGCAAGAAACAGTTTTTGGAGGCCTGGTGGTTGCCTATAAGTCTGGCCTATGGATTCCTTTGACTGTACTTTAATACTTACCTTGTAATTCTCACAGTGTGATTGCTTTCTATTCTCTAATTCCTACTTCTTCTCATTAAGCTTTTTAAAATCAAGATCTTTCTGTGTATAAAAAATGTTATCCTGCGCATAATCCTCTTGTATCCCTTCCTGCAAATCCTCTGTAATATGAGATTCAATTTCAAAGAATACTAACTGCCAATTTTATGTGGACAGGCTTTATTTTATAACTCAGGCCACAGTAACATAGAATTGAAATACGATTTTACAGGGGAGAGTCCACATTATAAAAATTTAAACAAATGATTTAAATAGCTATAAAGGCTGGAAGGAAGGATTTTAAGCACTCAAGAAAGTTTTGAAGAGTAGCACAGTGTGTAAGACTTTTGGCTTGCATGTTGCCAACCTAGATTTTATCCCTGGCATCACCATGGTCCCTTAAGCCCTGCCAGAGGTGATAACTGAGTAGAGAGCCAGGAATTTGAACCATACCCTTAACTCTGCTGGGTATAGCCCAAAAGCAAAAAAAAAAAAAAAAAGTTTGGGTGAGCAGACTAACTGATAAACTGCTGTGAGTGAGTCAGACTTCCTTCCCAATGTTTGCAAGATCGAAGGGACTCCTCTTATTAAGGGTCTCTGAAGACCCAGTATGGAGAAGTTATTTGGACCATGGTTGGAGTCCAGAGCGTGATTCAATTATGGATTTATTCTATGTGCAAATATATCACATATTTCATAGATGGGTTATCAGGAACACCTACTAATTTTACTCTAGGTAAGATCTTTCACACAGTTAAGTTTGTATCTTTTCTTGACCTTTCACCTCTTGGATTCTATTGATAACGGACGTCAATCTCTCTATTGTCTCCACCTTTGTAGCAGAGTGGATGACCCCATCCTAGTATCAGTCAGCATCAGTACAATGTCAGGGCAGTGGCATTTCAATAAGTCAGGACTATTAAAATATGGGCTGGAATGATAATAAAGCAGATAGGGAGTTTGCCTTGCCTGCGGCTGACCCCAGTTCCATCCCTGGCACCCCAAGACCATTAGCACAGAGCCAGGAGTAAGTCCTGACCACCACTGATGTGTTCCAAAACAGAAGCAATATAATATTAATACACATACCATCTTCTAGGATATTTGTTTGACCAAGATTGTTGAAATGAACAAAATTTACTTGTTTTTCAATATCCCCTGGTCCATCAAGACTTTCATCAGGAGAACTGAATCAGTAATATTTAAGTGAAAACAATTAGTATGTTATTTTTTTTCCCTTTATTTTATTTTATTTTTTTTAAAGTTGTAGATTTACAATTTTTTGTGCTTTGGTTTCAATTATACAATGATCAGATACCCATCCCTCCACCAGTGCCCATTTTCCACCACCATGGATAATATCCCTCCCACCCCCATCCCCCCCATCCCCCCTGTCTCTGTGGCAGGGCAATCCCCTGTGTTTTCTCTCTCTCCTTTTGGGTGTTGTGGTCTGCAAAAGAGGCATTGAGTGGCAAACATGTTCAGTCCATAATCTACTTTCGACATGCATCTCCCCTCCTGGGAGGATCCTCCAAACATCCTTTATTTGGTGCTCCCTTCTCTATCTGAACTGCCCTTTCCTCTAGGATACCCGGCTGGCCTCTAAGTTATGGAGTAATCCTCCTGGTGCTGATCTCAGCTATTCTTGGGTATTAATCTGATACTTTGTTACTTTATATCCCCCAGATGAATGCAATCTTTCTATGTCTATCCCTCTCTTTCTGACTCATTTCGCTTAGCATGATACTTTCCATATTGTACCACTTGTATGTAAATTTCATGACTTCATCTTTTCTAACAGCTACATAGTACTCCATTGTGTAGATGTACCAAAGTTTCTTTAACCAGTCATCTGTTCTTGGGCATTCAGGTTTCTTCCAGTTTACAATTAGTATGTTATTAAGCAGAAAGGACTTCCTCAAGGAATTGAGTTTTGTTTCTAAAGAGAAAAATAACTCAATAAAGTCTTGTCTGTTAATCCTACATTTGTTTTCTAAATATACTGACTCTGGAATTTCATAATTCTGATTAACCCACTAGAGGTTTTAAAACAGAAGTTTCTGGAAATAAAAATTCTTAATATTTATCCTTTATTCTTTTTAAATTCAATAGTGTGATATCATTTATGGAATTAGAATTCACTCTACTATTATTCATTATTTTGCAACTTGGTTTCAGCTTAATATGCATTAGTGTTTCAAAACCCTTCTACCTTTTCACACCAACCTCATATCTAATGGCTTAAATATGAAAATATCTGAGAATAGGTCATAAATGGCGCTTTCATTGGGAAGAAATGAAGAGGATATTATAATGGCTCTTTAGATATATCCAGAAGCTCATTCATCATTTGAGATTAATTGGACATTTTGTACTAACAGACAGAGCTGAAATCAAGCATTTTTTTGCTGTAAATAAAGTAGTTTTATAGAAGGAAGTTTGAAACTTGAGAAATTGCACTTTATTACTTATAATTTGACTTTCTTACCATTTTATTTCTTGGCAGTTCTTAAGGAAAATATTGGTTAAACATTTTCTCTTTAATCCTGATCAAATAAAGTGAAATAATTTACATTTGGGCTGATCAAGCTGATCAAGCTACATAACGATAAACTTAATCTGTCTGATTTAATGGGCCCTCAGGAGGAAATGTATATTAGTACTCTGAAAATCATGCAGATTAGGAAATAATACATTTATTAAGGATAGCTATTTCACAATTTATAAAGATACTATTTTTAAATTTCTCTTTAGATTTCTTAGTCTTCCTACTTGTATGTTTTTTTTTTTTCTGAAATGATTGAAAAATTTTTGTTTTGTCCTCTAAAATATTGGGGCTTTTATTTCTCCCTTATACTAGCCTTAAATTATTTTTATTTAAATATGCATTATACTGTTATTAAGAATATTTATTATATTTTTCCATGCAAGGTTTCACTGAAAGATTAAATATTTTCTCTTTTTTAATATTCTTTTGTTTTGGGGGGTTAGGGTACACCTAGTAGTGCTCAAGTCTTTTATACCTGGTTATTCCTGGCTCCGTATGAAGGAATTACTCCCAACAAGGCTCAGAGCACCATATGAGATGGTAGGGATCAAACCTGGATCAAATGCACTCAAGGAAAATACCTACTTGTTATAATATCACTCAGACCCCATAAGTAGTTTTTATAGAGATGTAATATATATGGATAAATCAAAGTTTTTAATGTTTAAATGTAATATCTGTAAGCATTAGACATTGTATTCAGTGCAGCTTAATTTTTGATAATAAAAATAACTATCAAAAATCTGGGAGGTGGCACAAGTGGCCATAGCACTTGCTTTGCATATAGGACCCGTGGGTTTGTTTGTTGGAATTGTATGGTCCCTCAAGCGACATGAGGAGTGAATTTTAGCATCAAGCACCAAGCAGTCACTGAAGAGCAAATGTGGCCCAATATCTCCAAATGTATTTAAAAATAAAAATGAAAGTAATAAGAGGTACTGGACAAAAGGTCTATCATCTAACTCTTAATATAATACATACAAGTGGCATTTTAATTTAACAACAAAAAAAATCATTAGAGGTAGAAGCCATTTTGTACAATTCAACCTGCAACTAAAAATAAATGTTTACTGTATGTGAAGTAATCTGTTTGTCATGCAGAAATAGAAGATTGAAAGAGAGTATTTAAATTTCTCAACACTTTTCAATTCAGAAAGAGACATTCAAACAAATATACAAATATATAGCACTGTAGAACTGTCCTCCCTTTATTCATCAATTTGCTCGAGCAGGCACCAGTAACTTCTCACAACAAATTGTGAGAGTTGTTGTTACTGTCTTTGGCATATCCAATATGGCACGGGTGGTTTGCCAGACTTTGCCATGAGGGCAAGATACTCTCGGTAGCTTGCTGGGCTCTCCGAGAGGGGCGGAGGAATTGAACCTGGGTCGGCCGCATGCAAGGCAAACACCCTACCCATTGTGCTATCGCTCCAGCTCACAAATATATACTAATAATGAAATTAATATTAGTATCAAAGAGAAGCAAAAAATGCTAACAGATTTCTGAAAGGTTAAAGAGGTTTGCTTTTAAGTTATATTTACTGAGAACTAGGAGTAAGCCCTGAGCATTGCCAGGTATGACCCCCAGAACAAAAAATAATATTTTTTTCCTCCTAGTTCCT